GACCGAACGGTTTCGTGCTTGGAAGTTTCGCACCTGTTGGTTTTTTTCGGTTGATGACCGGTTGTTGACCTATAACTCTGTCCAGTTTGCTGCGTTACGTTTGCGTAGCTTTTCTGAAACAGTAGTATCTTGTTATGGACACATGATATGCCAGTGTGTGCGTGCTCTTTGCAGTGCCCGCAGGATTTCAGCTGCCCCTATTGCACTACGAACGCTTGCTCTCCGTCGATGATGACCCATGAGTCGATGTTCCGCTGCACTAACATACGGACAGACCATATACCGAGCGGTATGCCTTCGCATTCGTTGTTTTCACTCCACAATGCCTCGCGAATCGAGATTACTTCACCAAACGCGCTTAGGAATTGTACGACCTTCTCTTCAGATACACCTTCGGGGAGGTCGTAAACCTTCACCTCACAGTCCACTTCATGTTTTCCATCATGTTCGTCAACAACTTTTTGTACAAGCGTCAAGTCACTGACTTTGGTAATCGCACATGCTTCACCTCAGTGGCACTGTAGTCTTTTGATATCTTCCCTTTTCAAACCGAGAACCGACCGACAGAAACCATGAAGTTTTTCGACCGATGGCTTGATGGTGAAGTTCGAATAATCAATTTTAAACGTGTTTTCTCGCCTAATCGCGGAACACTTTACCACGCGACGCGGCACAGCGAAGTAGACAAATATCCAACCGTAAATGCTTCACTTGTGATAAGTGCAAGCGAAAAAAAAAACGTCTACACGTCTCATAAGCTGAGCGATAACTACGAAATTACCAATCCCGATGTACGATCGTTCTTTTCCCACCGCGATGCTTTGGAAGTGTTAATTAGTTGTATGATGCTGTCTAATTGACTGGTGATTCCAGAAGAATGAAAGCTCTAGTTCGCAGTCATGTTCTCTGGCCAAAAATTGACGACAATATTGCTGCTTACGTCAAACGGTGCGATAGCTGTGCCATCCGAAGTCTCCCTCAAAGGCACCACTTCAGTCGTGGTCACTTGCAAAATGTCCATGGGAACGGATCCATGTCGACTTTGCTGGTCCTGTCAACACTTTCTGATGGTAGTCGACGCTTTTTCGAAATGTTCTGAAATTCGCATTATTCGTTCACCAACAACAGCAGCAGTAATCCGAGTTCCTGGGTGAATCGTCTGCTCGTTTTGGAATTCCAAACACAATCGTTTCCGATAGTGGAACACAGTTCACATCCGAACAATTCGTAGCATTCTGTAGGAAAAATGGAATCCAGCATATACGCACTTCTCCATACCATCCACAATCAAATGGACAGACTGAACGTTTCGTGGATACATTGAAAACAGTGGCGTCGCGTAATCTCACTTTTTACCTGTTCAACAACTTCGAAAAACGTTATTTATGGTCATGTTTACGTTCCAATCAGTTACAAAGAGCATAGGGTCTTTTATAGTTTCACTGATTTGTATCAATTTGAACCAATATTGTTTTGTTTGTTTATACGTTTTGAAAGTTGTTGAACAGGTAGATTGAGGTTAGGGCGACGCCACTGATTGAAAAGGTCGTTGCTCAAAAACAACGAGGGGGGAAACATCTCCGAATCGCTCCACATTCTTCTTCAAGCCTACAGATCCACTCCCAGTCGTGTGCTGAACGGAAAACCACCATCTCAGTTGATGCTTGGACGAAACATGCGAACAGTTCGGTAGAACTTTAAAATTGGGGCGTAATTGCTTTTGTAAACAAATACGTCAATCGCCAATTACTCACGAAGAAAAGCTCAATCTCGCAAACAAACTCTACCAAATCTTGATAGAGCTGGGATTAGGGCGTAACAGCTTTTGTAAACAATGACTTCTCTCGATGATTTCTCGAAACTCAAGGCACGCCCACGCAAACCAACATAACCAACGGGAAGGGGAAGTATTCCCCTATCAGATGGTGGTGTTGATTTGAGTGAGCGAGCCCCTTTCTCATTCGAGGCTCATTGTCACTGTCAATTGAGTCACTCACTATCATTTGATATACGACAGTGGAGTATGGAAAAAACCGAGCAAAACGGTCCCGAACAGACAAGTCGACCCTATGTAAGGCTAATTTAAGGTCGATGTCGACCCAATGTCGTGTTGTTGTCGGGTCAATTTTGGGTTTATGTCGGGTCAATGTCGGGTCAATGTCGGGTCAACATCGGGTTGGGGTTTGGTAGAAGTCAGGCTGGTGTCAGGTTGGCTTAGCTTTTTCGCCGGAATGTCGACCAGAGCTCCGTTTATGTGTAGGCTACACTCAATTGAATGATATATTGCGTTTCTCAAATGAGAATGATCCATGCCTTCGTCAAATGACTAAGCAACTGGTATCACCCATTCGGAGGAGGTCCCCTTTGATAGCGAATTTTCATCAAAAATGTTCAAATGATTTTGAGAATTTACAGCACTGCAAAGGTATATCGAAGCAATTTCAAATGGACCTGGGCTCCAGGAATAATCATCGAGCTCATCGGTCAAGTCAACGTCAACGTTCTCTTAGACGGTTGGTATGGTAGACGCAAACTCATTCGTTATCATGCGGACCAGATAAAACACCGCTACAGTGACCAAACTGCTCCAGGTATTTCAAAACCATCTTCACTCAGCATACTCGTGGATAAGTTTGGATTGCGATCCGAGCCCGGACCGAATCTGAATCCAGTTCCAAAACCTGAACATGAAGCTGACCCTAAAGATTCCTTTGTAGCTTCATGTTCAATCCGAACCCGAAGATCCAGAATTACCGGCAAGTACTCAGCCTGGAGATCCAGAATTACCAGCAGGTGCCAGTCGAACTAATCCTATGTAAGAATTTCCGGACGCAGCTCGCCTTCCAGATGAACCCACTACAAGTCGACCAAAACGGCTGATCCAGATGCCATCCAGACTAGAGCCGTACCTTGTATTCTGGAAATAAGAAGGGAGGAATGTTGCATACATCGAAGCAGGCAGTACCTAAGAGGACGAGGAGACAATAGGTGGACCACATTTCTGTCAAACGCGAACCAGCGGCTGATTGGTCGGGCGAACGTATAGAAACTCGCGAATTTTTACAACAGGGAATCTATTTTCTTGTATTTTGACAGTCGGCTGCGTCGCTCATAATGTAATAGTTTTTGCTCGGTCGTTTCCGCGAGAGAAGAAGAGCACGTCACAGACAAAAGATAGAGCTGGAATTAGGGCGCAACAGCTTTTGTAAACATCACCATCGGGTAGAGGAAGACTTCCCCTACCTGATGGTTATGTTGGTTTGCGTGATCGTGCCTTGAATTCCGAGAAATCAACGAGAGAAGTCATTGTTTACAAAGGCTGTTACGCCCTAATTCCAGCTCTATCTAGAGTTGTCTCCTCTTCCCCTTACACTTCAACAATTTATCACATATCTAATGGATGAAATCCATGTGAATTTCACATAGCTTTCGTTCGTTCCTGTGATCACATAGCAGCAAATCCCACCACAAAATCACATGAATATTATGAGGCCGATGAAATTCATATGAAAAATCACATAAAATTAATGTGATCGCATAAATTTTATGTGAAATTCAGATGAATTCCATTCATTTTAATATAAATTTTCAAAACAACAACCATGAGGCAGATAAATCAAGTTGAACAATGCATTAGGTTCGCAGTTACATTGATCGGGTAATAACTTGAATACAGAACCGTTTCTTGTCGTATTAGAAGCTAGATAATAGCTTCATTCAAGCTGAACATTGCATTAGGTCCTAAGTAACATTGACAGATTCTCTTCGTCGACTTTCTCTTTGTATCCTCACGGTCATGTAAAGACATTCCCAGGTATTTTCAGCATACAGATCGATAAAAGAAGCTTTTATCTAGCATCTAATATAACAAACACAACAAGAAATGGTTATGTGCTCATGTTATTAACGAAAAAGAAAGTCGACGAAGAGAATCGATCAATGTTACTTAGGACCTAATGCAATGTTCAGCTTGCATTCATCGATCGGTGTGTTGAAAATAGCTGGGAATGTCTTAACAAGGCCGCGGCGATGCAAAGAGAAATTCGACGAAAATAATCTGTCAAGGTTACTTAGGACCTAATGCAAGTCAAGTTTTCTTTATTAGGGAGGCTTTCAGCCTGAGGCTGGTTCGCCTCCGAGGATCTAATGCATTGTTCAGCTTGAAATGCCATTTAAATGATGATCTTGAGATTTTCCGGAAAAACATTCAAGCTATAAAGGAGCAGCTCTTGATGAAATCCCTCAAAATCCACCCATGGTGGAAAATGGTGATGAATTCCTAGCTGCCCAGAACTATGCAACACATTGCATCATTGTTGTAGTTGTCATTGTAATTTATTCAGTCAAACGTAGATGAACCGTTAGTCGGGACATTGTTAGCAAATTTCTAGAAAGACATAATTCTCCAAACACCTTAAAACTTCTCCGTCATGCAAGCTTTCCGTTTCTCGCGCACTCTGCCAAAAAATTTCCACCAACGCTAGATACCATCTACATACAACTGCCAATGGGTAGTAGCAGCTTAGACCACAGTATACCGCAAACGCAACGATCCACGAGACCTTCTACGGTGGCAAATCCTCCGTAACCTTCTTGCAAGAAGTTTGCAAAACAACCCGAGTAGAGCAGCGGCAGCAAAAGGCCAAAACAGCTACAAACCCACTAATACAGAGAGAACAACACTTGCTGCCGCAGCTCAACTGCTGCTTGCCATGGGTAAGCTATTTAGAGAAGGTGAGAAGACATTGAAAACCCACCAGTAGTGGAGAGTACAACAGGCCATCGGGCCGTTTCTTGGATTGCGGTGCCTACCATCTGCCGATGGATAATTTTCTTTTGCTACGTTTTTTCTCCGACGAACTTTTTACGCTTGACTAACTGCTCCGCCGTGCTGCCATGGGTCTCAGTACAAGCCCCCCCAAGACAGACCTCCACAAGCCGCGAAGCAAAAACTGAATCCATTGTTCTCCCGAGTACATTTGCAAGGGCTCTCTATTTACCTTTAGTTGCTGGTTGTTTTCCGCTGGATCTGAAACCACCTTTCGGGAGCACCGAATTTCACACGTACACACACACACTTTCAAAAATGCGATTGATTTCCCATTCGAGCATTATTATATTCCGTTTTTGGGCTCCAGCAATTTTCCTCCGTCGGTCCGTCCGGTTGCTTTTTCGTCGGAAGAAAAAACGCCACCGCGGCGCGAGTTTTCAGAGATTTTGCTTGCTCCCTCCTGCCAACTACTCTCTTCGTCGCACCCACTCGACTTTCTTTCCTTCCTGCAGAAAATTTTCACAGCTATTTTTCTGCTGCTTCTTCCTGCTCTATTCGCCTCTTGCTGGTCTGAAAGCGACCACCGAAAGAACCGCACCTCTTCTTGTTTGTTCGTGGGCCGCGGACAGCTGGCTACTTTCCAAATCCAACCGGGGGGTTCCTTTCGAGCGTGTCACTTCATTCCCGGAAACTTTTCACCTGCAGAAATTCCACCGCACTTTTCCAACTTGCAAATCGCTTTTCTTTTCTCGTCGGAGTTGGTTTTCTTATTCTTTCAAAACTTTTACACACACTTTTTCACTCTTCTTCCTGCCTGCCTCCGTGCGAGCTCAGCCACTTCCACTCGACAACCTCAAAAAGCAAAGAAGCAACCTCTTTTTTTTTTCCTTCACACTGTCGGGCCCGTTCCGAAACCAGAGAGCAAAGAAATATGGGGAAAATTTTCTTCACCACCGAAAAACTGACGCACCACAAACTTTTTCCACTGTTTTCCGCACAGAATTCGTACGAATCCGCGCTGCTGGTGGCCACACGTCCCCGTAGCTGGGTTTTCCCGAACTTTTCACCTAAAACCCAGGCCGAAAGTAACGGGAAAATTATGAAAAAATCTACGGAGCACTGTTCTTCTGCCTGCTTCTTCCCGAAAAAAAAAACGAGACGGACAACCCGCTTGTCTTCGATCGACGACGTTCGTTCCTTTCCTTCCTCACCGCACACCAGGAGCTTCAGCAGCAAGCAAAGCGACCACAGCCAAAAAGCCTCGCTCGGCCGTCCGTCGTAATCGTGTAATAGCTCTCGCCACTCTGTAGCCGTGTACCGTCCCGTAGCGTAGCAGCCGTGGCCGTACTAGGAGTTAACTGTATACGGACAGCGAGCGAATTTTGAGGCCACTACCACACGCACACACACACCCATTCACATTGAATGCTTGATTGCTCTCGCTTGCACGACGACGACGACGACCAGGCCAGAAGAAAATTTCGCCCAACAATTTGGCCGAGCCTTCGAATATTCACAAACAGGAAAACACTCTTGCACTCAGTTAATGTAGTCCATTTTGTTGACTTTTACCGAAACCGTTACTAGCTGGACCGGGGGTCGTCGATTTCCAAACACTACTTTGCACACACCGCAAAAGGATGTGCTTTCTCGCAAAGGTAATCAATCTACACTCAGCCAACACCACAGCGCACAGTCAGATGTGGATTTTCTTCTGTCGTCCGCTTGGAGGAGTGCAAGAAAAGCGTTTGTTCACACTCACACTTGCGTACACCATCGCCCCAACGAAGCACACGGGCGAATGAAATGGAAAGAGGAGGAACAAGAAGTATGAGTGTAACAAAAAAAACTCGGGCGAAATACTGCAAGAAAACTGCTGGAAAGAGTAGTGACAGCTGACAGATGTCAGAAAAGTAGTTTAGGCTGTTTATTCGTTAAATTTCATACCATTGGGCAGATGACTGCCCAGCAGTGTTGTCGAAGTGCGTATGAATCGAATCGAAATCAAACACGTCAAATTTAAATCGCTGAAAATCAGCCAAATTTTGCTGATTTTAGAATTGATGAAAGATCAGCAAACTTTGCAGCATAATAAAACTTTCAGCAATTCAAATTTATGTCAAAATGCAATAATTTTACTGAATCTTTAGAAAAATTATTAATTATGCCGAAGTAAATGTTTTTTGACAGCACTTTTCTGGATGCCCAGCAATATTTTTCTTTTATTGCGCATTTCACACCAAATTGCACTAATAAGCGCGTTTTCACTTATTAAAAAGTGTGATAACATTGCAAGTTTACGTCTAAGGCCGACAACATAGTAGAAGCGATTCGATGCGATAGCAATTGGCAAAGCGAAATGCAGCGGCAAGCGAAGCAACCTATGACATAGTGAAAGCGTTTTTGAAAACATTACAGCCGCGCGCGCAGTGCAAAATATTTGTTCAAATTTGTCCTTCCGGAATCTTCTTCATCTCTTTCGCAAACGAGGACCGGAGATTTTTCCATCTTTTCTTCACTGCATCCGCTGTAAAGTAAATAAAAACATTATATTAATTATGAAATAAATCACTATTTACACTTACTTGTTGCCTCTCCTCCCAGCTCACAGGAAACTTGTCGCCAAAGCTTATCGACCATCAACCGGTTCCGGTACTGTTTCAATGTTTTGTCCCACAGCGCTTTTCTCGTAAAAACGAGAGCAATCAGATTTTCCGAATCGATTTCGGTGTCCATTTTTCCTCACTAGAATCAGTCCACTTGCGTTCGAAGGCGTCAAAACACAACACGAACAGCTCTGTCGCTTTGCTGAACGCTTTACACCTCTTCGCATCGCTTTCACTATGGCTGGTTTGGGCGATTCCCATAGAACGCTCATAGAGGGTGCTTTCACGCAAGCGCTCCGCTTATTGCCAACGAATCGAATCGCTTCGAATCGCTTCTACTATGTTGTCGGCCTAATCGTCTTGGTGTCTTCGGTGCACTTATTCCTTATGATGCAAGCAATAAATGTTCCGAAGAAATCTAAACGATTTGACGGAAACTTGCACTTTTATCACACTTTTTGCATTTTTGGGACAGTCCAGTTTCAGATGCAATCAGCAGTACACCTTTGCTGAATTATCAATAAATATTTATCCATTTGTTTCCGTTTTGGTTAATTGGGTTTTCTTGAACCGTATTCAGGCTTGCAATTGCTCATTGCAGCTAAAATGCTATTTTTCGTAATTATGAAACAATAAGATACTATAATGATAATTTTTATTTGTAAGATGCAAGAAGAGGTGGTAAAGTTTGTGTATGACATAAAATTTGTTAATTTTGCTTTCAGAAGGTCACAAATAGCGATTAGCTGTTACGATGAGCAACGCGATGAGCGAGCAATTAGCGATCATAAAATCGCTAGTTGTGACCTTCTGAAAGCAAAATTGACAAATTTTATACTTTACCAAACTTTACCAATTTTTCTTGCATCTTACAAATAAAAATTATCATTATAATATCTCATTGTTTTATTATTACGAAAAATAGTATTTTAGCTGTAATGAGCAATTGCAAGCCAGCGTATTTAATGCATGCACACAAAAAATAATCACTACTAAAATTAAAAAAATCATTGGTAGAATTAAAAGTTTTCGTTGGTTCTTTTTGGTAGAAAGTCTGAAGCATTCAAAATAAAAATGTGTAACTTGTCAAATCAAAAGTTTAGCTCTTCGTTAATTTTAAAAGTTGATGCTTTTGAATCAAATTGTAGAACTGTCAAAAGGAAAACCAATGCTTTCAAAATGAAGTGCAAACTGTTTCAGTTCGAAAAGAGTTGTTTTTATTATGACAATATATTTGTTATATTAAATTTTAAATATTATCATATTAATGATTTTCAAGATTAAGAAAAGTAGCCAAACTAATGTTTGTATCATATTTAAAACATAAATTTATTCATTTATTTAATAAAAAAAACAAAGAAAATAAAACATAGTTTATGTTACCAGCGCAGATTGTGTCCTAGCCCTATTAGGAATCAAAGGAAGGCTAATCCTACTGTTCATCGTCCTGAGTCTTCTAAGTGGCATGGGTTGAGTCAGATTCTTGTCCGTCTTGTAATGGTCAAAGTATTGAGTCGAACCTAAGCTCCACGTTCATTTCGAAGCATTCCTCGTGTTTCCATCCTTTAAGACAACGACATACAATACAATATAGTGGGGGTTCACCAACACCAAAACAGTGAGCTGGTGGATAATTCCCTGTACATCATTGTCTTGTACGTTCATATATGTTCTACGCCCACGTACGTTTGGTGGTCACTTTCCGGAATGATGAGTTAGGTGCCATGTAACGGGGTTTGTTGTAAGGATAGTCTTTTTCGGTCGAGACGCTTCACTCTGTTACGGGATTTGTTGGCCGGAACCATCCGATGTAAGCGCTGGTTTGTCAAGTAATAGCGTACCTACAATGTAAACATAAATGTAATCGATCCTAAGAAAAATAATTTTCCAACTCACCTACATGCCCTGTTGCAGCGGCTGAATCACAATCGATCACCGGAGGCAGCTTCCAAACACCGAATTAATCGAATTAACCCATTAAAAAATGAAATTCCGTGGAACGATTTTATTTTCGTCGCGTCAATTCTACTTTGGCGGCAAATAATGTGAGGTCCAGTGCTGCCAAAAACGTTACTATGAAGAAGTATTTTTGACAGTTGAACAACTTTTATTTTAAAAAATACACTTTTAAAATTACAAGTCAGAAGTGAAAGAAAAACTTTCAAACCAAAGATATAGCTTTCATTTTGAAAATTTTCACTGTTAAAGCTACGAAATTTGGGAAACTTTTATTTTGAATTTGCATTATTTTTATACCAACAATTTTTGTTTTTTGTGTGTGGTTGATCTGGTAATACCATAGAAGTAACTCTAAACACATAGAAAATATCGCCAACTTCGGTAATTTTTACCGAAATCTGAACAGCTTGTTGAGTAAGGCAATTTTTATTACCAATACTTTTGAACCGAACTGTATAATGTTAACGCGGCTTAACCGTTTCTATCATTGCTATGTGTAATATTGAAGACATCGCTAACGCAACTATGTACAGACGAATGACTAGTGAGGGAATGCTTTGTACAGATCTGGTCACTTCATCATGATATACCTAAAGGGTGATACGGTCAAAATTTGGTCAAGGGAAAACGCGTGTAAATCGGTGAAATCGTTTATTTAAAAAATCAAATTAAATTTCTTTTTCAAGTTCAATTAGTATAAAATTCAGGAAAAATAGTTAGGCTTTCGCTTTTCCAAATCCGAATTGCCGGGCCTTACGCTTGACCCCTGCCATCAGATTTTGTACAGCCTTCTTCGCCGCAGAAAGCCAGTTTGCCTTGAACTGCTGCTCGCCCTTAGCAGTTTTTTTGGTCTTCTTTAGGTTCTGCTTGACAATAGCCCAGTATTTCTCAATTGGGCGGAGCTCTGGCGTGTTGGGAGGGTTCTTGTCCTTGGGAACCACCTGCACGTTGTTGGCATCGTATCACTCGATGGCCTTTTTACCGTAATGGCAAGATGCCAAATCCGGCCAAAACAGTACGGAACAACCGTGTTTCTTCAGGAAAGGCAGCAGATGTTTATTCAAACACTATTTCACGTAAATTTCTTGGTTGACAGTCCCGGAAGCTATGAAAATGCTGCTTTTCAAGCCACAGGTACAGATGGCTTGCCAAACCAGATATTTCTTTGCGAACTTTGACAGTTTCATGTGCTTGAAAACATCTGCTACCTTTCCCCTTCCTTTTGCCGTATAAAACTCCTGTCCCGGAAGCTGCTTGTAGTCGGCTTTGACGTAGGTTTCGTCGTCCATTACCACGCAGTCAAACTTCGTCAGCATCGTCGTGTACAGCCTCCGGGATCGCGCTTTGGTCGTCGTATTTTGTTTATCATCGCGATTTGGAGTCACTACCTTCTTGTAAGTCGATAGTCCGGCTCGTTTTTTGGCTCAATGCACGGTTGTAGACGATACACCCAGCTTATTTGCGGCATCTCGGAGAGAGAGGTTAGGGTTTCGCTTGAAACTACCGGCAACTCTCTTTGTCGTCTCAGCGGCTTCCGGTTTTCGATTTCCCCCCGATCCAGACTTCCTGGCTGTCGACAAACGTTCCCCAAACACTTTAATTACATTTGTAACGGTTGATTTGGCAACTTTTAGCGATTTTGCCAACTTTGCGTGGGAGTAGCTCGGATTTTCGCGATGCGCGAGCAAAATTTTGATACGCTGCTCTTCTTGCTTGGACGGCATTTTGACAACTGAAGAGTGAATTCCAAAATCAAAATAGGAGCAACATTCTACACACACACACCTTCAAAATGAGGGGTGTTCAGGTTTTTTAAATGCAAAATTGAAAGAAATACGTCAAGTTGATATTGACCAAATTTTGACCGTATCACCCTTTAGTCAGTCGATCGTCAGTCGATAGTCGATCGTTGATGTACATTTATGGTTCCAACTGAGACTCGAGTAGTGTAGTAGTCAAACAGTTTAGTTTAGTCCGGTTTTGGCTCGCTCAGTCGAGTTGTTCGAGTTGCGCGTGTGTTCGTGTCGTAGTGCCGGTCGCATCGTGTGATGGGAAGGCAGCGCTCCCGGAGCAAGCTCCGTCAGAAAGTGAACAGTACTGAAGGTAGCTCATGCGTACCTATCACAAATAGGTACGCTACTC